GAAATAGGCTGACTTTTATTTACAGTTGTGTAAGGGCAATTCAGATAGAGGATAACTCAAATGAATATTCAAATAAAGGAGGAGAGAGGGAAGCAGTAGATTTACATCAATCATACAGATTTTTGTATTAGGTACCTCCTGTGTTTTTCTAATTTTTTTTGTCAGCTTTTTGCAATGAAACTTCCAATGAAGCTATTTTGGGAATTCTGAAGTATTTGCTTTTAATGTACTTCTTAAATGGCCTTACCCAATTAGAATGTTCATCACAATGACCACTGTAATTCTAGGTGGATTTTAGTAAAATTGTGCCTTTTCTATAGATATTCATAGTTTTAAGAAATAAACAAGCAGGTGTTGCAGATGGTGGCATGTTTTAACTCTTTAGGATTTAAGAATTAGCTAAGCCTTGCAGTATCTCAGAGCTGAACTATACCGAAAAGAGATGTGCCACTGGGGTGGGGACTGTTTTTTACATTACATAGAAGCTTTCTGAAGGTTGGTGGGTGACCCTAGTGTCAATCTAGCCCATTCTCTGAACTACTTATCCTAACATGGAATCTTTGAACTAGGTGGAGAGCCCTCCAGCAGCTGAGTGCTCAACCTGTGCACTCTAATTTTGTGGCTTGCTTGCCTCCAAGATCCCATAAACAATCAGCCTTTACCTCATACGCACATTAACGAAACCAGTAGTAACTAAGGAAACAGAACTGTGGACACCAGCAGTAACCAACGAACTAGGGACGGGGGAAAGGATAAAACAAGCAGACCTCAAAGAATGGGGACTGCAGATTGATTCCAAACAAAGAACTGCAAGTGCCACCAGCTGTCCCTGACCTGGAATCTGAGGGCGGAACTGACGGCTTGGATTCAGATGTTACTACAGACCGGGCCCAAAGAAGGCCCTGGGTTCACCACCACCAATTCTCAGCGTGGGCCAAACCAGCAAATCCCGGTAGAAACGGGCACTGAGGACTGGAACTGGGGAAGGGATTCCCATAAGAACTGTAGACGGAACCAAGGGCTAGGACTCACACTCTGTAAGAGCCTCCTAACAGTCTACACTGACACCTTATCCCTGGACTGGAAAGCCAGTTAGAGAAGGAGCTGGACACAGAGAATCGAGCTCGACAGACAGGAACTCACCAATGTCCTTGTGAACGGCAAGACAGACAGTAAACTCACCAGGGTAACTGCCATGCCTCAGGTATCCCCAAATGCCATGGGAAGTTTGCTCTGAATTCCAATACTGCCACCAAATCTGTTTAAAAACAAAATTCAATATGTAACTTTAAAGGTCTAATTGGCTTTATCAAATGATTCATGAATTGGGCAACACCCATCTAACAAATGGAAAGGAGCCCCACTGAGCTGCAGATAAGGTTTTTTAAAGGTAGAGAGGGACCAGAGAAGGGAAATTATTAACAAAGATGCATTGTTTTAGGCAAGGTAACCTCCTAAGGAGAATGGAAGGGACCTGTCAGTGGATTACCTCCTAATGTTGACCAGGAAATTCCAGTTTGTCCTGTTAAAGGTTAAACTGTATGGAGGGGGATGGCAATGCAGTTAGCTTAGGCAGTCTTGGTTTACTTAAGTGATGCCTTAATTATAAGTGATTTCATTTGGGGCCTGTGGTTCTCTTTTTAACAGGACATTTACCTTGTTTTCCTCATACGTGACTATACTAAAAGTTATCTAATACTAATAAAGGATTAATGATGTCATAGGCAGCAATACCTCTTTTAACTGGGAGAAGCCACTTTTATCACTAAAGCTACTTGATGCTTATAGAAAGCTTAAGAAACTTGCCCAACATCACAAAAGGTTAAATTATTTTAATTCATGGCAGGAGAAGCTAGGATGTGAACTCAAGTCTCACGATGCTATAGTCCTCATATGTAACCACTGTACAACAGAACCTGTGTTCTTCATTTATACTGAGATAAAACACTATAAAAATATAATATTTTTACTTCATATTTAGAAGTAAGGTATTTGGGAGATAGTTTGCATTTTGTTTACATATAGCTTGGACTTTTTTGTTTTTTAAAAAAGGGAGTTGGGAAGATGGTCTATAAATTTCTCTGCCTAGCTAATGAAAGCAGGAACTTCTGTTTGACCTTTTCGCAGTCAGCCATTTCCTTATCCCTCTGCCCACCTCTCTGTCACTTTCATGAAGACATGATTGTGCCTGGTATATAGAAGGTAATTTAATACATATTTATTGAATGAATAAATTGCTGAGAGTTCAATAATTTAAATAAACATTAAAATATGCTCATGATAATATTACCATCGATTAGTTTTTAAGATAAATACAGATAAATAGATGTGTTCACCTTTATTAATAATATGCAAACCTTGAATCAACTTGGAATGTAAATTAATTTTAGTAATATAGTTTGACAAGTATAGTAAAATGTTATTTACTATTTAGAGTCTGTGTAGTGGGAAACCACCTTGTTCATAAATCTACAACTACCGTCAAGAGAGGTGATGTGATTATTTTAAAGCATGTGCTTTAGAATTAGTTTGTAAAATGGAAAAATGTCAACAGACTGTTGTTTTGAGGGTGTGTGCTGAAGTGGGTTAGAGTACTGCCTTCACAAAAAGGATCCTCAAGACAGAAAGGCAGCCCTTACAAAATGGGGTGTTCAACCAAGACGCAGGTGATAAAAAGAGGTTGAAGTCATTGTGGTTAATAGCACTTCCATATAATTTCCAAAATGTCTTATTCACTAGCAACAAAATTAAATAGTACTTTAGACTTGGGCAGCTCTATTTTTTAGGACTAATTTTGTAGGACAGTTTGAGCATCTTCAAATTTATCACTTTTGAATGACCTTGAAAAATATTTCATGCTAACTTGATGCTACTGATTTATTTTAACTGGTTAGTGATCTAATCTGTGTAAATTGCTCACTAGATGATCAAGCTTAGAAGAAAAAAGTACAGTTTTCAAAATTTACATTGTAGTTGAAACAAGTACAACATATATCAGAACCTAATATCCTCCAATTATTTTTCACCTAAGGGTGTAATCTCAGAGTGAGTTGTCTAATCCAGCACCAATTAATGTCTTTTCCTCTCAAGGAATGGTACCTATGGAAAGTTGTTGCCCTCAAAATATAATCTTATTTGCTACAAAATGCCTGACTACAGTGGGACACATGGTTCCCCTTTAGGTTTTCCGGCAAGTTTATAACCATGCACATCACAAGGGGATAAAGAAACACTTATGTCAATTGATGCAATGACTAATAAAAAAATTTCCCGGTAAAACAGCATGCTTTATACTTACACTGAATTCTTTAAGACATTTTTATAAATGTTAGAATATTAAGACTTCGATCCAGAGTTTAATAAATATAAAAATATGAAATGCTGGGTTCATTGTTATCATAATCAAATCCCTATCCTCTTTAATGTGGCGAGGGGGGAAGAGAAACAGGAGATTTGGAGCAGTTGTCTCCAACAATAGAGTAACATTTCTCCCTTAATATCTTCAAAAGAACCAAGGGAGCTGTTGTTTCGGAATTGCTTCTGTTTAATATTAAAATAGGTTGTTTTCCTAAAATTAAAGAGTGTCATCAGATGGACTTTTCTAGTGGTAAATTGGCTTAAAATGGATTGGTAATGTGCTAAATAAAAAGCTGCATTACTGGCCAACTTCCTACAAGTTATAGCATTGTCAATTACCGGAGCTGCGCTGGAGGGATATGATTTTTGCCTTGGAAAGGATGTTGAATTTGAATGCCTTTGGGAAACTTAGTGGAAAATATGCAGCAGATGAAGGTTCAGGAATCAACCCAAGAAAACTATGAAAGGGGAGGAGATAGTGCTCGGGAAGATTATTAAGAGAAGAACTCTGGGCTGAGAGCAGAATGAGGGGAGCCACTGATATTTCAAAAGCTGAGAAAGGAGAAATAATCCAGGAAGACAGAAATGAAGTAGCAAAGAAATACGAAGATTCTCAAAAGAGCTGAGATTCAAGGATGCCGACGGACTGAGCTTCAATGAATTAGTGGTCAGAAGTGTCAAATGCAAAGGAGAGGCTCTTACAGCGTCTTGAGTTTACTAGAGACACAGCACAGTGTGTCACCACACTCCAACCCTAGGGAGAGAACAGTGGTCCTGGCGCAAGCTCACATTCCACGTTATTTATTGTGGAACGAAGAACCTCACGCTCTGCAGGTGTCACCTACCCGTGGTTGACCTGGGGATCTTAGTCAAAACATGGGCTTCATGAAGTAGCGTAAGTAATAATGTTACACATTAGTTTCGTCGGTGAAGCTGGTGGTGTTCAAGAGATGTTAGACTGCTGAAATGTTTTTAAAGGTGCTCCTTGATAGAGTATAATAATATATCAGGTCTGCAATATGTGGTGGACCTTCAATCTTAAAATTTCATACAGTAACTTATCATTTAAAAGTAAAATATGCATGCTTTTATACTGTAAATGGTTATTAAAGTTACAAAAAAGTGAAAACATACAAAACTACCCACATAAAAGTACTTTTAATACTGTTTTCTTCCAATGGTTTTACTTTTGTATCTGAATTCTACATAGGTTATGTCCACAATATATACAAAACTTTATATCCTGCTAAACATTTTCTGATTAATAGGTTATTTTGTTACATAACTACATAACTCTCATGCCATAGTAATAATCTATTGAGTAGCTGAATGATAATTTTCTAAAGTCTTCATCTCCCATTGAAAATCTAGATTAATGTATTTTTACTGATGCCATTGATCCTGTGAAGAACATCTTCGGACTATAATTTTGGACTGTTACCTGGATAGTAAACTACTTTGGCAAAAAATTGGTTCATTTTTAGGGTTAGTAACCCAGGCCACCACAATGTTTATCCAAAGGCACTGTGTAGTTTAGAATGCAGCTAAAATATTAAGGAGTGCCGTTTTTATAACATCTTTGCCAGTAAAGTGAAAACTGGTACCTCATCACATTCTTTTTGTGCTCCCCATTTAAACACTAGAGTGAAGAAGGAAGCCCACAGGAAGGAATTCTGGAAGATATGCCTGTGGATCCTGACAATGAGGCATATGAAATGCCTTCTGAGGTAAAAAGTTTATGTACATAAAACTCTGAAAAATAAAGATTAAGAGTTCAAGTGGGGTCATTCTACTAAGCAGCATCAAAAACCTGTCACTGTGAAATTTCCCTAACATTTTTCTTAGTAAGAATGATTTATTATTTAGGTGCACAAGTTGGCCAAATCCAGGACATGTATAGTGTGGACAACTTGCATGCTAAGAATGGTTTTTATATTTGTCAAGAGTTACGTTAAAAAAAAGCAACACAGACCATTATGTGGCCCACACCATCTAAAATATTTACTAACTGGCCCTTTGCAGAAAATGTTTGCCAATCCCTGACTTGGCATATTATTTTATTAGAAACCTTACATTCCACAATAAATTCCCAAATGGAAGGTGGGAGAAATCAACTGAATGCCAAAAGAAAGTATTGGTATTTGCCATACATTTAAAGTAGGATGTTTGCATAGTAAAATAAGTTACCCACAAAACTTATAAAGTAGAAAGATGGTAAATGTATGGCTTACAACAATTTATATATTTCTGTCTAGCATTTTTAACAATTTTTTGGTAATTTTAATTTGAAAACTTTTTTAATAGAAAATGTATCACAGGGGAAATTAGAAAATAATTTTAGATTAATGAAACTGACTCTGGAAGAAAGAGAAAATACAAATAGATCTATAATAAAGTAAAGGGACTGAATTATTGTATAAAATCTACCCACAAAAAAATATACCAGGATCAGGTACCTTCTCTGGTGAATTCTGCCAAACATTTAAAGAATGATTAATATCTGTTAGTTACAGTTAATATGAATTAATTCCTCTTCCAAAATAGCAGAGGAAACACTCCTCAACTAATTCTATGAGGACAGTATTGCCCTGATATCAAAACCTGACATCATAAGTAAAGAAAATGTATTCTTGCTTCATTAGAAATTAAGTTAAAGTGTGTTTTAGTTAGGTCATATATTATTTCTCATGGAATCATTAAAAGGCATATTGATAATCCATTTATTTGAGATTAAGCTCTTTGCCTAATTAGATTTTACCAATATTTTTGGGTCTTTTAATGCATGCATAGCACAGTGCTAAGCACTATAGAAAATACAAGAGTACTTGATAGGACACAAGGACACAAGGATTTTTCTATTAATCAAACCAAAGATTTGATAAAAACAAATACAAATGTATTAATTTATTCCTTTAACAAACATTGTTCACTATCATTTATGCACCAGGCATCACAGTGGCAAAAATATGATGAGATACACAAAAAAAAGTACATTTTACAGAATCTGTTTAGATCAATCAGGAGGAGTTTTATAGAAGAGGTGGGAAGGGATAGGAGCTACAATAGGCTAAAAATGTAGAAGGAATCTTCCAGCACAAGGTGAGAGCAAAGATAGGCATGTGTGATAGTGTGTGAGGACATGTCAGGGGAACAGAGAAAACAGAGACAGATTAAGGTGCAGAGGTGGGTCAGAGACAAACTGTAGAGTACTAGAACCTTGCCATTTAAGTTTGTACTTTACGAGGAAAGCAACTTGAACTATTGAAGCTATGTTTATTTGTTTTTAAGCAGGATCTTACTACTATTAGAGTTGTTCTTTAGGACTAAATCCAACCACTTAAGGCCATTAATTTTTTTGTGATATTATCCATATATATGAGGTGAGGGTGCCTTGGAGTAGAAGTAGTAATTGAAACCATGAATGAAGACATTGCCATTAGGAGAGTGAAAGGATTGGAAAATATAACTTGCCTTTAAATGTCTTAGTTTCCTACTAAGAGTTAGAGCATCTCAACCCTGGAAGAGATTTCATAGGCCACTTGGTTTGGTGCTCACAACTTAGGCCATTTTGTCCTACAGGATTGCAAAAAATGGCACATCTGGACATAGATTTTAGATACCCTAACTCTGACCAGTATAATTTACTTCTGTATCTGACAGGAAGACAAAACTATTAAAATTATGTATATGTAGCAGAATAGTTCCAGAGCTATTCAAAGTGGCTAGTTGTGTCCTATTTCATTTGCCCTAAATCCTTGATTACTGATCACCTGTACTAACACTGCATATTATCTTTTTGATTAGGAAGGGTATCAAGACTATGAACCTGAAGCCTAAGAATTATCTTTGCTCCCAGTCTGAGGTCTGCTAGCAGACAGACATTCCATCCTGTACAAGTACTCAGTTCCAGCGTGCCCAGTCATGACATTTCCTCAGAGTTTACAGTGTATTTTGAACTCTGCCATCATCAGTGATTGAAGTATCTGTACCTGCCCTGACTCAGCATTTCAGTGCTTCCCTCTCACTGGAGGGTCCTTGTGTGCTGTGTGGCTTCAAATCTAAAATGTTAAAACAAATTAAAAACACCTAAGTGACTACCACTTATTTCTATTTTTTTCGTTACTGTTGTGGAGAAGTTGTGATTTACTATCATAGAAGATTTTTAGGTATCTTTTAATGATTCACTGTAAGAATAATGATGTGCTGTGAACTTTGTTAATATATACATTAAAATCGTGAGCATGAAACTATGCACCTATAAATGTTAACTATTGAATTTTACTGTTTTGTGATGTTTTATTAACTTGTTTGTATATAAATGGTGATAATTAAAATGTTACTCATTACAAAAATCCTATTGTTTATCCCACCTCACTTTAATAAAATCATGCTTATAAACAACATGAAATGGGAACTGGCACAACTAACCTAAAGTTCTCGACAGCCATTTGAAGGAGGAGAAATTTTAGAGCGGTCAAGGAGATGAGCGGGAACATTACTCCGTGCTCTGGGAACTCCCCGAGCAGCACTGCCCTGATCTGTCCTGGTGCGCCCTGGTGGCTGGACAGGGTACACTGAGAAAGAAAGCGAGGACAGTTAAAGGCAAGTTATGTTCTCTTTCCTTTCACTCTCCCAAAGGAAATGTTCTTCATCCATGGCTTCAGTTATCACTTCTGTTCCAAAGACTCCTCCCCACTCCTCATAACACTGCATGAATGATGAACGTTTTGACTTGATTTTGACTACATTTGCTTTAGGTATTCATAAAACACATTAACGCATTACAGCCCTGAGGGACCCTGACTAACCTAACTTTGTTTAATCCAGCCTTTTCTTTTCTTTTTTTTAAACCAGATCATTTCCCCAACCCCACTCCCATGAAATACCTTTGGGAACTACCAGAGAATCACATTAAGAAATGTCAGTTCTCCGGATTTACAAAAATCCCATGGACATCTTTAAATTCTGCTAAATTTGTGAATTTCAGGATGCTTCTTTATGAAATGTTTTTCTATTTGGGGAAGATCCATTAACTCCCCATGGGTACTGACAGTAAATTGGACTGTATAAACGCTATACAAATTCATTGAAAAGTTGGGTTCTTTTTTTTTTTTTTCCAGAAGAAAAAATGGCATAGTCAAAGTCACCAGTAGAAAAATATAATTTTAAGAAAGAATATTCTAGAAGCACTAGGCAGTTTATTTGTCATCATGAGTAATTTGATGTATATTCGGCACTGGCAAGGAAGGAATGAGTAGAGCAACTATAAATGTGGTTACCACAGAAACCCCCTCTTTTGCCTAATTGGAAAGAGTACTACAAGTGTTAAGCTGCCTGTGTAGTCTTAAACTGGGAAGAAGCGGTAAGTCTCGTTTCATTTAGGTACACCAATGAGTATTCCTAATTAGGGAAACACCACAGAAAATTAAAGTAGTTTCATACAAAAAACATTCTACTACTACTAAATGCATAAACAGTGCCATAGGAAGTAGTGGTTATCTTGGGCCAAACACTTAAACAAAAAGTTGTGTAAGGCACACAAGCCTTTTCAGGAAGTTTGTCTCATATCCACTGCTAAGACACATACCTGACAAGTGTCTGAGGGTTCGTCTGGCCTGGATTTATTTTGCAGACATCATTGCCCCAAGTCTGAGTTACTCAGCTTCATATGACTCCATAGGGGCATCAGTAAAACTGGTCAGGGTGGGCTTTAGCACACAATTGGCAGCAACAAGCTACAGTGTGATTTGGCTTTCCAAATTTGACCTTTGTCAAACTCTCCCCACCACTGTAAGATGTAACCTTTCCTCATCCTTCTAGCTCATTGAGTGGGCAAGTATTGGATTAAACACACAGCCCCTCAAGGGCAACCATTAGTTCTTAGAGAGAGTGCTGTCTCCATCCGTACTGAAAAACACATTTTCTAACTGCAAAACTGACAGACTCCTCTGCCCAGCACACTGACATGACAGCACTGTTTTATCTGAGATGAGTCATCACACAGCCTGCTCTCTCAGCCAGGATTCGTATTTCCTTGTTTGCTCTGTCCCTGGAATTGGAGATATCTATATTTGACATACAATAATAAAAAAGTGGTACATCAATATTAGCTCATCTAATTATCAAAATGACCCTAAGAAATTCCACTGTTACCCTCATTCATGAACAAACCGAGGCACCCACAGGCTAAGTAACTTTCTCACATTTGCACAGCTAGTGAGTGGCAGAGTCAGGAGTTCCAATCAATATAGGGCTTTACCACAATCACTACCTCTAGGCCACATTGCCTTTCAGAGTGAAGACACACAACTATGTAAGAGAACCTTCCAGAAGTCTAGGGAATGAGGTAGTAGCCTTGCTTTCTACATACAATTACTAGTATATTTCTATTTCTTCAAATGTCTGTCTAGAACCAGTGAAACTCATATATATAAAGATACATTTCTAATTCTCAGAGAAATTGGCCAGCCCCTGATTCCCCTGACTGATATTTCCTTATAACTAAATTATGCATATCCTGACAATAGAACCAAATATAAGACAAAAATGTTAGTAATAGTAGTCTACATTAATGTAAACTTCGTCATTATTTTCTGTTGAACCATGGACACTAGCGCATGTTCAATGAACAAAAACTTACATATAAAAAAGTATAATTAGGATTTCAATTAGTAATGTAAAAACTGAATTTCTTAATGAATTAAGAATTTATATTTTTAAATAATATTAACACCTTAACATTTTATAATAAGCTTTTATTTTCTAGGTGTATTTTTTGATACAGCAATGCTATATTTATCCTTTGAGTAAACCTACATTTAAAGAATCCAAATGCAATAGAATAAATATAACATTAAAACTATTTCAAAATAACGTTTTAGCCCTAATCTCTTTTGTATAAATTATCTAAGATTTTCTTTAATGTTCCTTTGTTGCTACCATAGTATCTTTATTATTTTAAATACAATATCAGATGGTATATTGGAAGCAGCTAAAAAAACATTCCCTCAAAAAGCCCATTTGAGCCTTTTCTAAGTTTTGCTGATATACTTCTGAAGTCAGGTAGGATTGCATAGGGGATTTCCAAAGTTGATCCTGCAAGTATAGGTTAATGTACTGGGATAATTTCTCTTATGAACCTTATGAAAATGTTTTCTCAGATTCCCTTAAAGGTCAGTGACCAGAAATTCCCACTGTTTCTATGGCAACACAGCAAGATACAGTGCCTTGGAAATGTGCTGCATTTAAATTAGGTTCCTCTAGGGCTTCCTAACTGCCTTTTGCAGGTAAACTAAATACCAGGTTGCCTTATATCTTGCAGTGAGATGAAAGCTAACTCGTATCTGCAAATGTCAAAGCTAAGCTGGGGTCCAGTAAAATCAAATCTAAACAAATAATAGTAGAAAGTCAATGTGCTTATCTTAGAAAAGAATCCAATATTCTGTACCTAGAATAGTAAGAAAGGCTTGTTTAATTAGGCTGGCAGAATAGTAGTGAGGATCCAAATTCTAAAACTATAGACCATATAGGTTTGACTGCCAGTTACATCACCTACAACACTTTTTACTTTTAGCAAGTTACTTAATCTCAGTGCCTCTGTTTCCTTGTCTGTAAAAATGCAGATGATATTAATAGCACTTCAGAGCATTGTCGTATGGATTAAATGAGTTAATATTAAGTAAAGTTTTTAAGGCTCTGCCTGCCCCATAAATGATCAGTGGCTCAATGATGCTGTATTAGTAACAGTAGTACTACTTGTAGTATACTATCTTTAAGGGTAAATAAGAAATATTTTAAATGTTTAGATATATTCATTTATATCATTGCTTAATATAAAACTAATAATAGCCAAAGCAATCTTCAGAAAGAACAAAGATGGAGGCACCATGTTTTCTGATTTCAGACTAGATCACAAAATAGTCCAAGCAGTATGATATTGGCATAAAAACAGACATATAGATCAATGTAACAATACAGAGCCCAGAAATAAATTCAATTAATTTACAACAAAGGAGTCCAGAGTATACAATGGGTAAAGGACAGTCTCTTCAATAAATGGCATTAGGAAAACTGGACAGCCATATACAAAAGAATGAAACTGGACAACTATCTTATACCATACACAAAAATTAGATCAAAATGGACTAAAGACCTGGACATAAGACCTGAAACTATAAAACTCAAAGAAAACATAGGTATTAAGCAACTTGGTATCTTAATGATGATTTTTTGAAGCTGACACCAAAAACGAAGGCAGAAAAGCAAAAATAGGTGGGAGTACATCAAACCAAAAACTTTCTTCACAGCAAAGAAACCGTCAATAAATTTAAAGGTAACTACCAAATGGGAGAAAATATTTGCAATTCCTGTATCTGATAATGGGTTAATATCCAAAATATATAAGGAACTCACTACTCGGTAGCAAAAAAAAAAAATCTAATTTAAAAATGGGCAGAAGATCTGAATAGATATTTTCCAAAGAAGACATACAAATGGCCAACAGATAGAAGAAAAGGCACTCAACATCACTAATCAGCAGGGAAATGCAAATCAAAGCCACAATGACAGAACACCACACACCTGTTGGATGTGACAAGACAGGAGATAACAAATGTTGGTGAAGCCTGACCATGTCCTCCAGGTTAGAGACTACCTACCTGAATGGCTGAAAGTGAAGCTAAGATCTATATTCTCTATGAAAATGAGAGTGAGCCATTAACTTGTTTCAGCAAATACCTCAGTAAATCCAAAAATTATATTTTATAGAGAAAATGATACATTTTATAAATCTTTGCCGACTTGAGGATTCTCAAAGTTCTAGAACTACCCCTTAATGTTCATATGGGCAGAGAACCTGAACAGACATTTCTCCAAAGAAATACAGATGGCCAACAGGCAGATGAAAAGATGCTCCACACACTAATCACCAGGAAAATGCAAATCCAAACCACAATGAGACATCACTTCACACCAGTCAGAATGGCCACTGTCCAAACGACAAGAAATAACAAGTGTCGGCAAGGATGTGGAGAAAAGGGAACCCTCCTACACTGTTGGTGTGATTGTCAATTGGTACAGCCACTATGGAAAGCAGTATGGACATTCTTCAAAAAACTAAAAAGAGAACCACCATATGATCCAGCAATTACCTCTGGGTATTTATCCAAAGGAAATGAAAACACTGTCTCAAAAAGATATATGCATCCCCATGTTCACTGCAGCACTATTTATAATAGTCAAGACATGGAAGCAGCCTAAGTTTTCATTAACAGATGAATACATAAAGAAAATATGGTGTATATAATAGGATATTATCCAACCATAAAAAAAGGATATTTTGCTATTTTCAAAACCTTAGATGGACTTTGAGGGCATTATAGTAAGTGAATAAGTCAGAGAAAGA